CATGCTAAAAGTACAAGCCGATGTTCTGCTTACAACTGGTTCAGTAAAACGACAAACATTCATGCTAAAAGTGGCCCATGACAGTGAACTGTATCGTAATGAAATGTCTAAATGGGGTATGTTCGTCACAGAGTCTGGCATGTATCGTGATATTAAACCAGAATTTGAAAGACTTTATGCAGATGCTGGTCTTGATGTACAATTTGGTGCTAAGGGCTATGAATTGTCAGTTGACAAGGAATATATTTTATTGGAAGATCTTTCGCAGAGAGGTTTTAAAAATGCCAAAAGACAAGATTGTCTAGATCTGGAACATTGTAAGGCAGTGTTAAAGAAAATAGCTCAATTTCATGCAGCCTCTGCTGTAAGAGTAGAACAAAAAGGTATGTTTGAGAAAACCTATCTACATGGATTTTTAAACGAAGATAGTAAAAATTTCTGTAAAATCATATTCGATACCTCCATACCACATCTTATGAAAACTATAGTAAAATTAGAAAACCATCACGATTACTATGAACAAATTAAAAGTTTTGTAATTAATATAACCGACACAATGTTTGAAAACAATTCATTAGATGATAATGAATTTAATGTTTTAAATCATGGTGATTGTTGGGCCAACAATATAATGTTTCAATATGATAATGAGGGTAACTTAAAGGAAACCTATTTAGTGGACTTACAAATGCCACGCTATGGCTCTCCCGCTCAAGATCTATTATATTTTATTATATCATCTGCTCATATAGATATAAAAACTCAACAATTTGATTACATGATAAAGTACTATTATGACAATTTAATTGAACATTTACAATTATTAAAATATACAAAACCTCTGCCTAAATTACGTGATATACATACTGCTTTAATTAAACATGGTATATGGGGTATGTAAATAATCGCACTGAATAATTATAAATTTATATAATATCTAATTAATTCTTCTTAGGTTTTTTAACCGTTATCACCATTATGGGTGCGGTGTTATGTGATCCTACCAGTACAGCAAATATTGATAATTTTGTTGGTTCTTCTGAGGAGGGTGATACATTTAAGGAAATGTTATATTCAAATGAACGTTATGTCCAACATCTGAAAGTTGTCTTACCATGGTTGTGCTATCGAGGAGCCTTTGAAAATGAATAAAAATTAATTTGTTTTAAACAAAAAAATGTATTTAAAGAAAACGATGTTATAATACAGAAAGTGTTTTATTAAGATTTTTAAAGGAAAAAACAAATTGGAGGTATTCTTTATTTAAAAATTTACGATTAAAAGGCCGTAACGGTACGAGGGTTTTTAGTTGATATGGGGCTAGATGTAATAATGGAACGATTTCAATCCATATCAATAGTATTACGCATGCCAAATTTCAAAAATTATCTTTAAAACTCCGATCTGTACTTTCCTTAAAGTTACACCAATCGGAATCATAATCACTTTCCTAGGAAATTTATCTACATACATATGTATGTACATCTGTCCCTATGTTGTGTTCTTTCGGTGCCCCGTGGATCATTGTTTTGTGTTAATAATTGCACAGATAGATAGATAGATAGATAGATAGATAGATAGATAGATAGATAGATAGATAGATAGATAGCTAGTAGATAGATAGATAGATAGATAGATAGATAGATAGCTAGAGATAGATAGATAGATAGATAGATAGATAGATAGATAGATAGATAGATAGATAGATAGATAGATAGAAGATAGATAGATAGATAGAATAGATAGATAGATAGATAGATAGATAGATAGATAGATAGATAGATAGATAGATAGATAGATAGATAGATAGATAGATAGATAGATAGATAGATAGATAGATAGATAGATAGATAGATAGATAGATAGATAGATAGATAGATAGATAGATAGATAGATAGATAGATAGATAGATAGATAGATAGTTAGATAGATAGATAGATAGATAGATAGATAGATAGATAGATAGATAGATAGATAGATAGATAGATAGATAGATAGATAGATAGATAGATAGATAGATAGATAGATAGATAGATAGATAGATAGATAGATAGATAGATAGATAGATAGATAGATAGATAGATAGATAGATAGATAGATAGATAGATAGATAGATAGATAGATAGATAGATAAGATAGATAGATAGATAGATAGATAGATAGATAGATAGATAGATAGATAGATAGATAGATAGATAGATAGATAGATAGATAGATAGATAGATAGATAGATAGATAGATAGATAGATAGATAGATAGATAGATAGATAGATAGATAGATAGATAGATAGATAGATAGATAGATAGATAGATAGATAGATAGATAGATAGATAGATAGATAGATAGATAGATAGATAGATAGATAGATAGATAGATAGATAGATAGATAGATAGATAGATAGATAGATAGATAGATAGATAGATAGATAGATAGATAGATAGATAGATAGATAGATAGATAGATAGATAGATAGATAGATAGATAGATAGATAGATAGATAGATAGATAGATAGATAGATAGATAGATAGATAGATAGATAGATAGATAGATAGATAGATAGATAGATAGATAGATAGATAGATAGATAGATAGATAGATAGATAGATAGATAGATAGATAGATAGATAGATAGATAGATAGATAGATAGATAGATAGATAGATAGATAGATAGATAGATAGATAGATAGATAGATAGATAGATAGATAGATAGATAGATAGATAGATAGATAGATAGATAGATAGAATAGATAGATAGATAGATAGATAGATAGATAGATAGATAGATAGATAGATAGATAGATAGATAGATAGATAGATAGATAGATAGATAGATAGATAGATAGATAGATAGATAGATAGATAGATAGATAGATAGATAGATAGATAGATAGATAGATAGATAGATAGATAGATAGATAGATAGATAGATAGATAGATAGATAGATAGATAGATAGATAGATAGATAGATAGATAGATAGATAGATAGATAGATAGATAGATAGATAGATAGATAGATAGATAGATAGATAGATAGATAGATAGATAGATAGATAGATAGATAGATAGATAGATAGATAGATAGATAGATAGATAGATAGATAGATAGATAGATAGATAGATAGATAGATAGATAGATAGATAGATAGATAGATAGATAGATAGATAGATAGATAGATAGATAGATAGATAGATAGATAGATAGATAGATAGATAGATAGATAGATAGATAGATAGATAGATAGATAGATAGATAGATAGATAGATAGATAGATAGATAGATAGATAGATAGATAGATAGATAGATAGATAGATAGATAGATAGATAGATAGATAGATAGATAGATAGATAGATAGATAGATAGATAGATAGATAGATAGATAGATAGATAGATAGATAGATAGATAGATAGATAGATAGATAGATAGATAGATAGATAGATAGATAGATAGATAGATAGATAGATAGATAGATAGATAGATAGATAGATAGATAGATAGATAGATAGATAGATAGATAGATAGATAGATAGATAGATAGATAGATAGATAGATAGATAGATAGATAGATAGATAGATAGATAGATAGATAGATAGATAGATAGATAGATAGATAGATAGATAGATAGATAGATAGATAGATAGATAGATAGATAGATAGATAGATAGATATTATTATTAACATTTAAAATATATTTTTATAGCTACAATCAAAATATGAAAGGTGTCATGGTTTCGTCATCGAAATAATAACTGTAGATCCACAACATATTATAAGATAATGGAAATGACATTTCTATCATTCAAAAATAATTTTGCTTAGTCAAGAACAAAATCAAATATAATATTTCTTTAAATTTGTACATCATTCTTATAATCATAAACATTGTTGAAAAGATTATATAAAATGACAAGCAATTTTCCAATAAGATATTTACGCTGAAGTTTAAAGAAATTAAATTAGAGAGCAAATTATAACACTCATTAAATTTAATTATTTTTATACCACTCACCACTATCAGTGGTAATAAATTTTGTCATTCCTTGTGTTCCAGGTCCTTATGAAATTCTGTGTCGTTAATAGATTTGTTTTGAAATCTAATAAGGATCAATATTTTTATAAGTTACAACAAAAATAAAAAAGTCCGTATACATACATATCTTTTGATTATAGGTATAAAAGTATGATGGGTTTTACTATCGATATTTCGTTGCGTTGCACACATTCAAGATTCTCTCATATATTTCTCTTGTACATATAATTTTACTCTTAAATTTTAACTGCGAATATATTCGAACTTATGTGTGAATGTAGCTTGCTAGTGAAAAGGGAATCCCCACAAAATGCCTATGAATAATTTGGTGATTTTTTTTTTTAATTTTGCCAAAATATTATTCCATAAGTGTAGTTGTAATAAGTTTTTTAACAAGAATATGTTTTTATGGAGAAATAACTTATGTGTTTAAGATATTAAAGTGCAAGAAAATTTGTTCTGTAGTCACGATATTTGAATTCATTAAAACAATGTGCACTGCAACTTTTTTTCATAAAAGTTAATTTTATTTTATTTACAAGGTTATGACGTTGAAAATAAGTGAATTTACTTTGAATATCAATTTAAGATATTTTGCATAGTCATTCATTAGCCGGTTTCAGAGAACAATTTGCATAAACATATACAATGATTATGAAAGGTATAACGATTTGTTCATTCCGTTTGCAACACATCGAAATGTTGATATTAGAGCTATATGTGTGCATGTATGTATGTATATTACAGAGTCCCGATGAACAGCCTTTTTAGGAATCTCATATAGGAATACATCGCAATCGATTCTTATTATCTGTCTACTTTTTTAAGTTTAGTTCTGATTTGCCTATCAATTATAAGGTTCATTTGAATCAGAGAAATGATCTGCTATAATAACGCAATTAAAAGAGCAATATTAAAGCATTATAAATGTTAACTGTTGGATTATATTTTATAAATATTTATTGGTACTAAAAATTTGTAAATATTTTTATTTAATTAAAAAAAGCAATAAACACAGTTCAAAAATTTAATTATTTAACAAGAAAATACTATAATTTTATAACTACGTAAGTACTCATCTCATTTCTTATCTATTTGAAAAACTTATTGCAATTAATTATAACTAACCGTAGAAAACAATTAATAACTTTTTAAAACAAAAGTTTTAATTACCACTAACAATCTAGAAGACCTTTATATAATAGCCAAGGAAATATAGCTTCCATATGTTTACGATAACGGGGATTCGAATACATTTGTTTCTTAAAATTAACGCCTTCCTCTGAGTCATTTATAAAATTATCTAAACTGGCATTATCGGTAGGATCACAGAGAACGGCAGCCATAACATTAGTAGTTGTCATATAACCTATAGAACGAAATAACTGAAAATTTTAACTAATTTTGAAATGAAAAATTTCTTAAAAAACTTACCGAATATTCCATATTTTAAAATCATTTGATGCATTTCCTTTAAACTAGGTATGGCTTTACTATAGTTGAGCACTTTTAAACTTTCAACTAAATTATCATGATAGAATTTAATAAAATAATCAAATTCTTTTAATTTAATTTCCAATTTTGTGGATGATAAGAGAAAATACATAAGATCCTGGGCTGGGGTGGCATAACGTGGCATTTGAAAATCAATTAGATAAGTCTCTGCTACATTTCCTTGATCATCATATTTAAACATGATATTGTTTGACCAACAGTCACCATGATTTAAAACATTAAACTCATTTGGATCGGCGTCTACATGCTTAAAGATTTCATCAGTTATTTGATTTTGCAATTTTACAACTTTCTCATAATACAATTCCGAGTTGTTGTACTCTTTAACACATTCCAAAAGTGTTTTTGTACTACCATCGAACATGGCTTTTATTAGATCATAACCTTCTGGTTTTATATAAGCTGTACAATATTCTCTAGGATAGGCTCCTTTCTGGGTAACCCTCACTGCTGAGGCCGCATGCCATTGTGCTAATTTTTTCAATACACTTTTAGTATGTTCCATATCTAGGCCATCTAAACGATTGGTATTTTTAAAACCTTGTTCCTTAAGATTTTCCAATAGAATGTAGTTTTGTTGGATGGGCAATTTATAGGATTTGGCACCAAATCTCACCTTGATACCCGCATCTGCATATATTTGTTCAAATTCTGGTACAAAGTTACGATACATACCGGCTTCAATAGCAAAGACATCATGATTTTTCATTAGTTCTTCGAAAACTTCACTTTCATGAGCAATTTTTAACATGAAAGTAATGGGTTTAGTAGAGGCATCTGAAAGATAAGTTTTCTATAATTAATTTTAGTTTAATTCGAAGATTCGTTTTTGTACGCCTAGGGAACTTTGTAAAAGCAAGGATCGATTTTATTAATCATCTGAAAGATGAAGAGATATTGATTAATCGAGTAATATAAAAGTTTTCAAATAATTTCTCTAAACAACATTTTCCAAAATGTCTCCAAAAACTTTCTAAAAATTGTTTGAATATAGATCAGTCTATAGTCTGGACTATAAATCAGTTTTTAGTCTTGACTATAGATCAGTCTATTGTCATGACTATAAATCAGTCTATTGTCGTGCTTATAGATCAGTTTATAGTCTCGACTACAGATAAGGCTATTTATAGTCTTGAATATAAATCAGTCTATAGTCTCGACTACAGATAAGGCTATATTAAGAATTGACTATAAATTTGTCAGAACTACAGAACAGTATAGTATTGACTAAATATCAGTCTATACTCTTGACTATATATCAGTCTATAGTCTTGACTATGGATCAGTAAATAGTATTGACTATGGATCTTTTTATAGTCTTGACTATGGATCATTCTATATTCTAAAGTCTCGACTAAAGATCAGCCTACAGTCTTGATTATAGATAACTCTATAGTCTTGACTACAGATCAGTCCATAGTATTGACCATAGATCATTCTACAGACTTGGCTATAGATCATTCTATAGTCTTGACTATAGATTAGTCTACAGCCTTTACTAAAGATCAGTCTATTGTCTTGACTATATATCATTTTATAGTCTTGACTACAAGTCAGTATATAGTCTTGACTATAAATCATTCTATAGTCTGAACTATAGACCAATCTATAGTCTTGACTATAGATCAGTCTATAGTCTTGACTATAGATCAGTCTATAGTCGTTACTATAGATCTGTATATAGATCATTCTATAGTCTTACTATAGATCATAATCTGGACTTTAGGTCAGTCTATAGTCTTGACCATAGATCATTCTAAGGTCTTAACTATAGATCAGTCTATAATCTTGAGTATAAATCAGTCTATAGTCTTGAGTATAGATCATTCTGTAGTCTTGATTATAAATAAGTCTATAGTCTTGACCATAGATCAGTCTACAGTCTTGACTATAGATCTAAAGTCTTTATTATAGATCTGTCTATAATTTTCACTATACATCAGTCTGTAGTCTTAACTATACATCAGTCAATAGCATTGACTATAGATCAGTCTATAATCTGGACTTAAGATCAGTCTAGTCTAGACTATAAATCAATCTATTATTAATCTCGAATCGATGGGACCTGTGCCACCTCCAAAGTTAAATATTTAACCATCCATATTTACCTTTCAACTTCATTAAAATTTCCACTTTTAACATAACAGTAGCATAGTTTTCTCCAGGTGCTAAAGCATTATCAACACTAAAATGTTCTATTTCCGAAAAATCAGTCTGTAAACTTTTTAAAAGATCTTCGAAGAGTTCCGGCTTAATCCATGATGGAAATTTAGTTTGTTTAATATTAGTATTTTTATTGTTATTGTCACTCATACTGTAGTTGTTATTTTTGTTTATCTTATTCGTAAACAATTTAAAAAGCTTATTTAAAAAATATATATAAACCACTTCGGTTATACTATGACAACGATCGAATGTAAACTAAATTTTTATTAACAGGTATATCTCAAATATATCAATCAAAAGCTGTCTGTGTTTTACGTAATTTCATAACATATTTAAAAGCTTTTAATATATTTATGCTTTTTGAAAAGCTTTATTTTATACTTAATTAAATATGTTTATGAAACTCATTGCTCGAATTTTGATTTGATGATAATATTTATTAAAAAGTTACTGAGAAACTTATTATTAATGATAGAGAGTAACATTCTGATTTACAAAATGCTCTCGTTAAATTAATAGCGTCATCGTTTCACTTGAGATTAATTATGTCTAATAGTCTTGTCGTTTTGAATTTATAGCGTCATCGTTTCACTTGAGATTAATTACATACTATATATAGAATACTGTTGCCGACGGCATACATATATATGTATATATACATGTATATTAGGAATATAACCAAAATTAGGCCTTTTCACCCTATTTAGATGGATTTTCATGAAAAGTAGCTTACATGTAAAGGGGATTTACGATTTGGATTCGAAATTTGGAAGAGGGAAATCGTGGTTCAAACAACAATGCTGCGTCTAAAGATGGAACAAAATAAATAACTTTTGCACTCTTATTACAAAGTTAACTTAATTTTATTCAGATTTTTTCAATTATTTACATATCATCAACATTTTACTTAAAATTTAGAAGACCTCTTTGATTTAACCAAGGATATATAGCTTCCACATGAGAACGGTAACGTTCATTTATAAACATTTGCTTTTTCAAAGCAACTCCGTCTTCACCGTCACTAACCATTTTCTCCAAACTTGGTTTATCACTAGGATCCAATAAAACTGCAGCCATAACACTTATAATGGTTTGTACAGCTAAAAATTATATAAATAGGAATTATATAATAATTGTTAAAGTTATAAGAAAACCTCTTACCCCAAGCTCCATATTCTAACAATTCCACATGCAGATCTTTTAGACTGGGAATACTTTTTGGATATTTTAACAATTCCAAATTAGCCTTAAGATTTTCATGATAATAACGTATAAAAAAGTCAAATTGTTGCAATTTGATTTCAAACTTAGGAGAGGATAATAAAAAGTAATATAAATCATAACAGGGTGTGCCATATTTAACCAATTGATAGTCCACAAAGTAGGTATTGATTATATGGCCCTCATCATTATGCTGGAACATAACATTATTGGTCCAACAATCACCATGATTTAAAACATTGAATTTATTCTGGTCAATTTTACTGGCATTGGCTAGGTGGGTAGTAGAGTCCTTTAAAAAGGCTTCCTAAAGTTAGATGTAGTAAAGACATTAAACATTTAACTAATAATGAATTCCACTACTTACCACTCCTTCATAATATTCCTCATTGCCCTTATATTCTTTCAGGCACTCCAGATATATCTTTACAAATGATTCACTCATTTTCTCTCTCATTTCTCTATTTTCTTCGGTGTATATAGAACGTTCATATATTTCAGGGAATTTTCCCTCGGTTTCAAACACACAAGCAGAAGCTGCATGAAATTCAGCTAGCTTCTTTAAAATTGCTTTAGTATGTTCCATATCTAAACCCTCTAGACGATCACAGTTTTTGAAACCTTTAGTGCGAAGATTTTCCAATACTATTGTCTCACATCCTGTATCTTCTTTGAGTTTATAACTTTTTGGTGCAAATACTACATCGATGCTAGCTCTTTCTTTGTAAAGTTTTTCAAATTTTGGTATAATTTCATAATATGCTGTTGTTTCTTTTTCAAATGTATTCAGTAAGGCAACGACGGCTTTGGCTTGTTCACCGTTTGGGGGAATTTTCAACATGTAGGATAGATTACGAGTGGTGTGATCTGTTTGGTAAAAGAAATTGCAGATTGTTAATAAAATGTTCTTATAAAGAGAAGTGAGGCACGATTAAAATTATTATTTGTGCTATATAATAGGTGTTTTTAAGCCCGATAGAACTTACAAAGGGGTCAAAAGAACTGTAGTATTGGCATCACTACTATATATAGCATTAAATCATAAATAGATTGACGCTTCATCAACACTACCAAGTTATCCAATTTTATCTTGAAAGTCAGACGTCGTCGATGTTTTATCGCTAAATTATGCATGGGTTAACTAATTTAAGCGCCAAGGATGGCTCTACTTGTCATACGGCGACCACAACCTAAGATTAATTTCGAAAAATGGACTGTATGCTTTGATACCTTGAGTTTCCCCGGGGTCATGTTACCTTCATAAATTTTCCCCATCTTGGTGTTATTGAATCCCTGGGAGAAGAGGTGCTACCAGTACCTCTAGTCTGCCGAGACTATAAACTGGTGATGATCAAATGTTTCTTCGGACTTTCCTTGGAATGACTTGACATGGGGTCGAACCAGAGAACCACATAATTTGGCACCACAGTAACCGGTAGCCAACAGGGCAGAGTTTCGGACTTTGTCTTTTTCTGATTATTTTAGAGGTCCCTTCCATGTACACCCTGTACATGGCGGTTGTGGTTTAATCCCAAATTCAAGGGAAGAGAATGTTGGTTTAAAGACAATAAAGTATATAATAAGTGATAAGTTCTGTGTTGTTGCCTAGACAACAGATACACCGCAGAGGAGTGACTGTGGGACTACGCATTGGGATGGATGTAAGGGTATACCTTACCCTTATAAACAGAGTGTGTCAGTTGTTTTTCTCCATGAGTATGTCGAATGAATTTGAAGTGTGCTGGGTTGAATGGTGATGGATTAAATGTAAATTATATAAGTGACACTATTTTGCTTCCTTGCCCGGGTATGTTCAGGATTTACTCTGTTCATACCAGATTTACCACAGTGTGTTCTCTGTTAGTAAGAACAAGTCATCGGCTTATTTGATGGATTCGTATTTCGGTCTACCGATTACGTCTCTAGGTCCTGTGGGACCTTTCATAGTCGCTAGCTTGAATTGAATGTCAACATTCTTCATATGATACATAACATAAGGCCAGCAAAGTCAGCAAAATGTTGCCCAAATTCAACAGAGCTTAAAAATGTCATGCCGAAATATAGATCGTAGATCTCCATATGGAATATGGTCTTTATACGATTCTAAAAAAATCTAGGCATGACCTAGACCTCCTGTCAAACTTGGATGTCTATCTGGCTCTCTATATGATAGTCAAGATTGCTCATAAGCTTTCGAAGATAATAATGTTATTATCCGTAATTACAGAACACTGTGTCATTGACACTCATGCCAGAAGACTAGCTGTTTGATATAATGACTACTGCAGAAGTTGTCACAAGAGGAAGATAAGACGGTGTCGCATCTACTATGTATTTGTTCTAAAATCTCAAAAAGCAGGTGCTTCCTTGGTGCTCCCTTTTTGTTAGGTATGGAGAAGCTTTCTTAGGTTCATGAATAACGAATCCTGATGGTTTATATCTGGAAACAAAGAGTATTATCAGACTGCACACCTCTAACCACTATGATAACACAGCAGGGACAAATTAAATCGGCCCAAGTGAGCTGCTTATTAAGCCCTCGATATCTAACCTAGACATGCCCATCAGCTTGTTAAAATTGGTATAGGGACCACTATAAATTGCTGAAATCCTACACAAATATATTGATATAGTTTATTTGGTATTAAAAATGGATCCACGATTTTAGCTCGCAAAATTATTTTTGAATATAATTGGTAATTTTGTGGTAGGCGTACGGAGGGACAGACATGGCTTAATCGCTAAAAACAAACTGATTGGAATACTTTAAGGTCTTTACCCAATATATTTCACTTTAATTACGTGTAGCGCTTAATGCGGTCGGGAGAGATTTATATATAATGATTACTTTTCTCCTATATATTTATTTTCTGCCAATTGAAATAAAATTTGGAATTTATAACCCTATTATTTGTTTGGCTACATAAACAATAGATAAAAAAATGTACCTGTAAGTTCAATGTCGATGTCTACTTTCAAAATTATCGATGCATAATTATCACCAGCACTAGTTGCTGGACTAACCGTAAACTTAAGTATTCTTTGATAATTTTCACAATCAGCACGTACGACATCCATAAATAACGATTCATTAACCCATTCTGGATAACTGTGCGATGATTGTTGAATACATTCTTTTTGTTGAGCTATTTGTAACGGCTCCGTTGTCACTGGTTCTTTTAACTTATCAGCCGCCGCAATTCTATTATCTATTTCACTGCATTATTTAGTATTAAATAAGGAAAAATAAAAACAATGTATAAAAGAAAAAATTAAAACAAATTTGCTAAAATATGTACTACTTGAAATAATTTGATATGGATTTTTAGTTTAGTAATCCTTACGTCAGATCTATTTCCATAAAACCACGATTATATAGCCATGGCAAGATTTCATTGATATATTTACGATAACGTTCATTCGAATACATGGCATTCTTAAAGTTATAACTTTCCTCTGTGTCACCAAGAAAATTTTCAAATTTAGCATTATCTGTGGGTTCTAGCAGAACAACTCCCAGCGTAAAGAAGGAGGTCATGGTAGCCATAGAACCAAAATCGAGCAATTGCATATGGAATTCTCTTAGGTTGGGAATTTCCAAGGGATAATTTAACATTTTCAAATGGCTGCTTAAGTGTTCATGATAGTAACGTATAAAATAGTCAAACTGGGAAAGTTTTATATCAATTTGTACTGAGGATATAATGAAATAGTATAAATCCAAAGCTGGCGATCCCCAGTTGCTGTTTTGGAAATCAACGAACAAAGTGTCTTCTAACTTGCCATCATCAGCATATTTGAAGAGTATGTTATTAGACCACGAATCGCCATGATTAAGGGCACAAAAGTAACCAGGTAGTAGTTTACGACTACGTAGGAACAACTCGATAAGATTGTCAAAGAAAGTTTCCTAAAAAGGGCAACAGTTGAAATCGCAAATGTGATTGAAGTAAAAATAAACTACAACTACAACTCACCATTAAATCATAATACATCTCACCATTTTCGTAAGTCTTTAAATTATCCAAAAATGGTTTCTTAAAAGCCATAAACATTTGCTGCATCATAACACGAGCGAATTCATTATCCATATCGGGAGAAAAAACTGGTGAATATGCTCCCTTCTTGGCTACACGACAAGCTGAAGCAGCATGAAATTGAGCCATTTTACGCAACACACTTAATGTGTGTTCCATATTTAGGCATTCCAAACGATTGGCATTCTTAAAGCCATTCAAACCTAGATCATCCATTAAAACATAATGTACGTTAGCATCCTCCAGATCTAACCTATGCGACTTAGGACCAAATCTAATATTGTCTACACCAGCCTGATGATACATTTCTTCTAATTCTGGTATGACATCAGTGTAGACAGTATTTTCTGTTATAAAGAAATTCATGGCCTGCATCATGTCTTTCATTTCTTTAGTATCGTGAGCCACCTTCAACATGAAGGAGAAATCTTTGCTTGTGTTATCTTCAAATTTAGCTGTCATTTTAACTCTCAACATGAGAGTGGCATAATTTTCACCAGCTGCCATGGCGGGATAAGCCTTAAAGTTAATAATATCTACGATATTAGGATGGGTTTTAAGCAAGAGTTTTTTAAAATTAGCTTCATTAACCCATGCTGGTATACGAGGATCTTGAACTTCTTTCTTCAAATCTGTGCTTTCTACTGCTGCAGTAGTTTGCACCTCCTCTTTATTGGTTTCAGTTGTTTCCTCATTTTCTTCTTTGATAATACCAGCAACTGGCAGTTCTACTTTAGGCAATGGTCTTGGATGTTTTTTGTAACTAAAGTCTTTATTTGATACCACCGGAGCTATATCATAGCTATTGGTTTTATGCTTTGAACTACGCAGACCCATGAGTATTTTTCGAAATTGCAATCTTATGTTACAAATTTAATTAGAATTGACTATAAATAACAACCTTCACGGTCCACTTTAAGTATTTAACTGAAAACAATTTATTTACAAACTAATGTTTTGTTTTATATGCACTTCAAACAAAATAATTTTTTATAATACCCTACACTACTATAAGATATTATGCGTTTGTGCTAATGTTTGTAACACCCTGAAATAATTCTTTAAAATCGTTTTTTTCTTAAAGGTAACTAGGTAATTTTTTATGAATTTCTATTAAATACTAACAATCTGTTCATATTTTACCCAAGCTCCCTTATAAACCCTACGTCAGAAAATCAGTTTCATGTTTTCGGTTTTTGAAGAAGTAAAAAGATAAGTCTTAGGCCTTTATTTTAAAGCTGACAGAATAGATTTGACATACAATATCTTATAAATAAAGTTGTCTTTCCGCTGTCTCAAAAAGGAAGTTTTTTCAGTCTTCAGTACACGATATCTGGAATCCCAGATTCGAGGGATATATTCTGAGGCAAGGTTCAGATTCAGCACAGTTCAGTCCTTTAGAAATACTTAATATTCTTTGGACTCTGGCAGGGATGTTAAAGTTGGTACAATTGTACTTTTTTTGGTACATTTTGACCTTCTAAAGTACCGTGGTACTACCGCGACTCATTTGATACAATTTAAAAATGTTTTTCCCCTCTTTTTATTGTGTCTATTTCATTGCATTTATGATGTACAAAAACCACATGCAATTTGTTTATGTTGGCCAGAGTTGTAAAAGTCTGTCTTTTGTTTTTTGTTTGCATTTACGTTTGTAGTAGTATTCGCAACAACAAACACTAGTAAATTTGACAGTTTTCGCCTTTGTGAAGAAAAAAATATTCAACTGTGCTATAGACACCACTTGTAATGAATACACCTTGATATTGAAACTTGTTTGTTTTGCTGAGCTTATTCAAATTCTGAAGTGAAAATATTTTTGTATTTTTACTTTTTATTTTTTAATTAAAACTAAAAAAACTAGTTTATTATTATATTTAGAAATGGATTTCGATGAAGCTGGGTAAGATATTATATATTACCAAGGTATTTGAAAATTAATATTATTTTTTTGTAGAACAAGCAAGCAGGCAAAACCGTACGTTGTACCATTTCGTGAGGAATGGGCAAAATTATTTCCATGGCTAGAAAAAGAAAAAGACGGAAAAGGCAAAAAATTTACTCTCTGTAGAGTTCCCATAATTGGTGGTGTTGCACACATAAAAAGACACGCCTCACGGGATGCCCACGTTAAAAACATGAATGCCACGAAAACTACCCCAAAAATTAATAATTTTTTGACCATCGCCGCTAGATGTCCTGTAGCAGAGTCGGCTAGAAAATTAGAAATAATGCTCAGTGCATTTGTAGCTGAGCATAACATTCCGTTTGCCACATTGGACCACCTCAACCACATAATAAAAAATGGTATAAACGACTCGCAAATTACTAAAAAATTTAATATATATAGACAAAAAGGTCAGCAAATCGTAACAAATCTAACTGGGCCTGAAAATACCACTTCAATTTCCAAATTTTGCCAAAATAATTACTATTCCTTAGTGATAGACGAAAGTACAGATTGCAGCATTTCTAAAAACTTAGCTATAGTTATTCGAACTTTTGATGGTCAATGCCGAGATAGATTTTTAGGAATGGTGCAGCTAGAGGACTCCACTGCAAATGGTATATATGAAAGCACCATTAAAGCGCTACGTGAAAAAAATATTCCCATTCAAAATATGGTTGGCATTACAACGGACAATTGCGCGGTCATGATGGGATCTCAAAATGGAGTTCAAATTAAATTTAAAAATTTAGTGCCTCAATTATTTTCAAATGGGTGTATTTGCCACATTTTAAATTTAGCTTCTGTGGCTGCCGCAAAACTCGGAATTCCGAACGAAATTGATAAATTTATAAGAGATATTAACTACTATTTTTGCAACAGTGCTAGTCGAAGAGTCGATTTTGTTAAATTCCAAGAATATTTCGGGGCTGATATTCACATAATATTTAAATATGCAACAACCAGATGGCTTTCTCGGCAAGAAGTCGTTGACCGGATTGTGGAACAATGGGAGCCACTACAATACTATTTTACCTTAGAAAATTTTGAGGAGGATGTCAGAAACGAAAAATTATTGTTTCTTTCATCAGGATTTAAAAATCCTTCTTTTAAATTGCATTTTTTATTTATGCAATATATACTTAAAATTATTAACATGGTTAATTTAGAAATGCAATCAGAAGATGCGCGAATTCATGTATTTTTACAAAGGCTAACTTTTTTATTCCGTCATATAGCACGTAATTTCATGAGAAAAAATGTTTTGGATGACTGTGATATATCTATCGTAGACCTTTACAAAAATCACATGCCCATTGAAGAAATTTATTGCGGAACAGAAGTGGATTTATATATTTCTACAAATAATATCAATATTGATATTGTTAAAGAAATTAAAGAAAATGCCAAACAATTTTATATCAAATTTTGCTAAGTTTTAAGAACTAAAGTCAACTTTAATAACGAAGTATTAATGTGGTTCCATAAATTTACTCCTGAAAATGTAATTTCTGGTAACACAAGTAGTATTGTACCGCTTCTAGTAAAAATGTTTCCGAATGAAATTGCTAATTTTGATTCAATTAATAATCAATTTAGAGCTTTAGCTGATGTCGAGCGACTGAAGTCGTTAAAAAATGAAAACATATGTGGTTTTTGGTCGGTAGTAGCTAATTTACAAAATGAGATGAATGTCCATATGTTTCCAGATATTTCTAGAGTCGTTGCTGGAATTTTATCCATTCCACATTCGTCTGCAAATGTGGAAAGAGTTTTTTCTTTTCAAAATATAATTAAAACTAAGGAAAGAAACAGACTACATGTGCCAACATTATCAAGTCTCATACAGACAAAAGATTGGTTAAGATCGACAAATTCATGCTGCTATGATGTAAAAATACCAAATAGTTTATTAACTAAACAAATAAGTTCCTGATTTTGATCTCATATTTTCATAAGACTTTTATGTACCTTATTTTATTCATACATATAATGTATGTTAATGTTAAGTTTTGTTTTTTATGTACAATTGAATTTTTATGTACTTTTTTATGTTTTAATAAATTTAAAAAAAAATGGTACCGCGAAGGTCCAAAAAGTACAATTTTTTTTGGAGGGTGGTACAAAATTGAAAACCCTATTTAACATCCCTGGACTCTGGGTTAAAAATTTGTCGGCCTTTAAAAACCAGTCTAGTCGTTATAAAATTTAATATCAAAATGTTTGTAATTGTTGTTATACTAAATTGCATGAAAATCGGTTCAAAATTGACCGCCTCTTTACAGCAGGTGTACGACCTCATATAGTCGGATATGACCGATTATATTATCTTACTTATTTGGTTATAGAGTCAGTGTATACTTTTTTCATTAGCGATAAGCTTTATTTAAAATTGTATATATAGTAAATACGTTTATCATTTTGATATCATTCGTTGTTTTTGTTAAATTCTAACATTTTTTTTAAACGGTTGACTAGCTCTCAACTCTCAAATTTGGACTATTCTATATTTACCTCTCTTTCTCTTTAGAGAACTGTTATCAATAAAGCCAAGAGACAAAATGTAACGTTTATAAGTAAGACTATTTTTTGTTTGTTTTTGGCAATAATTCCGAAATTTAGGCAAATTCAGATAAATTTGTATTATGAGAGGACTACAACTGACGATTTAATTTCATTTTTAATCACTAAGGAATTTCATTACTTCTAATTTGTCTTTACATATTTTGATTCATTACATGTATTTAGCTTATTGACTAGGCTAAATATACATGGTCCTAGAACCCAATAATACATACTTGAGGTATGTATAACATATACAAAATAATCTTTATAGCTGTGGGAATAAAACCGTTAACTAAAAAGTATATATGTCATTTTCAATAATATTTCGTCAGATTACTAATATTTGTTTATTAAATGTTGATAATTATTATAATTGATATTTGCCACAATCTATTGCTAAAAGTCATTTTGTTTATTAAACAATAAATAAATTAAGTTTTTTAGATAACATTAAAAAACACAAATACATATATATGTCAGTTGTGACAAGAGGGCCGCAATTCCAAAAAACTTGGAAATGACATGTACTTACTCGACATCTTACTTCTACCATCTTCAATAATCGGTTGGACTTCTTTTGACAAAAAATGTAATATAAAGTCACTACAGGAAGTTCAGCGTACATTTTCGCTAGAATATAATTGGCACCATGAGCACTAGGTTAAATAAGAATCCGAAAGGATTGAAACATCGATCATGAGAAACATTCGAGCAAATATATATAGTCATCCGCTACAGCATTAAACTCACAAGACAAAACGGGCGTGAGGTTCTATATTGAAAACTCAGAAACCGAAATATACTAACACCTTTTTAATCACAACATAAGGCAAAAGTCCGTAAAATAAGGGAATGTGTAAACTAGATCGAAAAAAATATGGCACCAACAGTTGTTTATAGCTAAATGGTAATTAGGGCGATATCAGGCGATAAGGTTCAATCTAAGACCGCATCGAACTCTAAGACAGTCGAATACGTTGAAATGTATGAAAGTATGTTTGAGGCAACGAGGGATGAATTAAAAACTTGGGTGAGATCTGATACCGTCACAACAAAAATCATAGAGTGATCCAACTAAGGGTGAAAAGCTATCACGTTCAATCTAAGACCGAATCGAACTCTAAGACAGTCAAACACCCTTCCCGATGAAACGGAAGAGCTAATGTATGCATGCAAAACCGTTTGAGGCAACGAGGGATAAATAAAAAACTTGGGTGAGATCCGATACAGACACAACAAATATCATATAGAGTGATCGAAACAAGATCGAAAAGCCTTCTGAGAATAAGAAAGTTCGACGAATGGATTCAGACGAGTGTACGGAATGCAGGGAGGACAGTTATTCTATATATATATATATCTATCTATCTATCTATCTATCTATCTATCTATCTATCTATCTATCTATCTATCTATCTATCTATCTATCTATCTATCTATCTATCTATCTATCTATCTATCTATCTATCTATCTATCTATCTATCTATCTATCTATCTATCTATCTATCTATCTATCTATCTATCTATCTATCTATCTATCTATCTATCTATCTATCTATCTATCTATCTATCTATCTATCTATCTATCTATCTATCTATCTATCTATCTATCTATCTATCTATCTATCTATCTATCTATCTATCTATCTATCTATCTATCTATCTATCTATCTATCTATCTATCTATCTAGCTATCTATCTATCTATCTATCTATCTATCTATCTATCTATCTATCTATCTACTATCTATCTATCTATCTATCTATCTATCTATCTATCTATCTATCTATCTAGCTATCTATCTATCTATCTATCTATCTATCTATCTATCTATCTATCTATCTATCTATCTATCTATCTATCTATCTATCTATCTATCTATCTATCTATCTATCTATCTATCTATCTATCTATCTATCTATCTATCTATCTATCTATCTATCTATCTATCTATCTATCTATCTATCTATCTATCTATCTATCTATCTATCTATCTATCTATCTATCTAATCTATCTATCTATCTATCTATCTATCTATCTATCTATCTATCTATCTATCTATCTATCTATCTATCTATCTATCTATCTATCTATCTATCTATCTATCTATCTATCTATCTATCTATCTATCTATCTATCTATCTCTGTTCCTCATCGAAAAACTCATGAACCTCATAGGACAAAATTTCAAATAGAAGTTTTAAATTTATCCAACAGATGGAGTCCAAGTTTTCATTTTCAATCAATTACACCTAAACCTCTAAACGGACCGGGCACCACTAGTATTTTTATAAAACGTCATAAAAAGATATGATTGTGACCACACAATAAGTATACAACCCTTCAGAAAAAAAAACCGAGACATACATAAGTGAATGACACTGCACTTTATTTTGAATTTGCCATTTTTGAGCAATTTAATAAGTGTGGCTAAATTAGGTGATATATATGTACATACATATTTACTAAAAAATTCTAATCAATAAATAGTTAATAGTTGATTTTAAATTAATATTTGTTTTTTATTCTTATCAGTATATGTATTAAACAAAAATCATTCTAAAAACCAATTCTAAGACGCTCTACATCAAGATGGAGCGAGGGCCAATTACACAGACCAAACTAATTTTTTTTAAATTTGAAACCAAAAGATTATGATATAATAACTTTTCTTTTCCAATCTGCCCTCAGAATTTCTCCATGACATCAAGTCGGGTCTTAAATTTTGGAAACTTCGTTTTTGTGTATTTTCGAAACCTTATAGAAATATGAAGATACCCTAAAGTTAAGAGTTCATTCTGAGCCGATTTATATACTTTAAAGTGTATTTCTGATAAAGTGGTATAGGGTGTATAAACAATAGTTAGTATTTTATAGACACTAAAAGTCTTATGCATAATCAAATTTTGATTTATCAATGTGTTGCGATAGAAAATTTAATTTCCTGAATACCACAATTTTATATTACATTTCCTACACATCGAAGGCTCCTCGATTATCTAACCATGGTATTAATATATTCATATGTTTTACATACAAATCATTTGTATACATTGATCTCTTAAATTCATCATTATCCTCATTGATCAAATTATCAACATTGGCATCATCACGTGATTCACAAAGTATTATTGCCATCAAGTGGTTAATAGTGGGATAAGCTAGAAATAAATAAGTAATATTTATTAAAACTACTAAATTCATTAAGAAGTATCTATAACAACCTACCCCAATAATCATGCTTTAGCAGCTCCATATGTATCTCTTTAAGACTAGGTATTTGCCCTTTATAGCTCAACAAATTTAAATGTTCCGCCAATTGCTGATGATAATAGTAAATAAAATAATCGAAATATTTTAATTTTACCTCTAAGTTCGTTGATGACAACAAAAAATAATAAAGATCTTGTGCCGGAGTACCAAAGCGGCTCATTTGAAAATCAACGAATAACGTTTCACTGAGTTGATTCTTTTCATTATATTGAAACATGATATTGTTTGTCCAACAATCACCATGATTGAGAACATTAAAGTTGTTGGTTTTCCAATCAGATTGTAATTGAAATGGATCGGGTTGAGTTTCAAAGAAGATTTTCTGAAAATAAGAAAAAAGAACTTTCTTAGAAAGAATCTGACCCAAGTTCATACACATATAGGCCTCTTTTCCGAAAATCCCTTTGATGTTCAATATTAATATCAATATTGTGATTAATTCAAATGTAAACTCACCAATTTCTTTTCTAAATATTTAAAATTTCCATATAAATCTAAATTTTCACGAAATAACTCCCCCAACTTTTTGCGATGATCTTCAAACAAATCAACATCACTGGAAAGAGATTTATCATACATTGACGACAAGGGCCCATTTTCTATAAAATAATAGGCCGAAGCAGCATGTAATTGTGCTAATTTTTTCAACACTGCTTTAGTATGTACTAAATCCAAACCCAAATGTCGATTAAAATTCTTAAAACCCTTGAGTCTTAAATCTTCTAATATGAGAACATCATCATTAATATTATACTTGGTAGGATCCAGTAAACGAGGAGCTAATTTTATCATACAACCAGCTTTTTGATAGTAGTTCTCAAATTTTCTTAAATATTTCATATAGGTGATGCGTTCTTTATCAAACAATTTCCATTCTTTTATCATAAACTGTAGCTTTTCCGGTATGGGTTTTATTTTAACCATATATGAGGTTGTGGTTGCAGTTCCATTATTTAATTCTACATTAAGAGTTATTCTCAGCATAACAGTCATAAAATTTTCACCCGTTTTAACGGCCGGTCTAACAGTAAATTCTTTTATTTTACGATAATTTGGAAAATCATTTTCCAAAAATTCTTGAAATAGTTTTTCATTTAGCCAGGGCGGTATATCTTTAAAACCGGTATTTTCTATTACTTCGTCATTATTTGTAGTCATTCTATTAAGCGTTTTAAAATAATACTGTACAGTTCTATGTCCCTAGAGTAACTAATTTTATAATTTTTTCTGAGACTTAAATAGTCGTGATTATTAAATATTTAGTTGTATAAGCAATTAATTTATTATTTTTTATATATTGTTATAAAATACTTGCTCATTTTTGTATTTACGCCTTAAATAATTGTTGTAATTTAGTTTACAATTTACAAACAAATGGACTAGTTCTATGGTAATTTTGTAAGCCGAGTGTAAAGACTTTTTATAATCTGAACTCTATACATGTAATTCCCTGAGTTATTTAACAGCTTGGTTAATTTGCCAAATATAACAGATACAATTCTAAACATATTCTCCCTATATTGAAAAATTGTTCGTATACTTAATTAACCCATTAGTGACCATATAACATACAATACCCCAATATAACTTTGTTCAAAATTTGTAGCTATATTGGCAACTTAGATATTCAAACTGCAGAAGCTATAGGTTTAAGTTCGGTCATCAGGACAAGGATCAGGAAAACAGCCAAAAAATAGCAAGGCTCTTAATTGCCACGTGGAATCTATACGAAAAGATCTATTCACCCCTCACATTTTTAAGTAACAGGCTCGGCGGTTTAGGTGTAATTGAGTGAAATTTAAAATTTCGACACCATATGTCGGACAAATTTAAAACATTACAGGAACACTTCTCACGGTCCCCGAAACATATATTTGAAATTTTGTATCAGTGTTGTAATTGCTCAGTAGATAGATAGATAGATAGATAGATAGATAGATAGATAGATAGATAGATAGATAGATAGATAGATAGATAGATAGATAGATAGATAGATAGATAGATAGATAGATAGATAGATAGATAGATAGATAGATAGATAGATAGATAGATAGATAGATAGATAGATAGATAGATAGAATAGATAGATAGATAGATAGATAGATAGATAGATAGATAGATAGATAGATAGATAGATAGATAGATAGATAGATAGATAGATAGATAGATAGATAGATAGATAGATAGATAGCTCGCTCGCTCGCTCGCTCGCTCGTCGCTCGCTCGCTCGCTCGCTCGCTCGCTCGCTCGCTCGCTCGCTCGCTCGCTCGCTCTCGCTCGCTCGCTCGCTCTCTCGCTCGCTCGCTCGCTCGCTCGCTCGCTCTCTCGCTCGCTCGCTCGCTCCGCGCTCTCGCTCTCTCGCTCGCTCGCTCGCTCCGCGCTCGCTCGCTCGCTCGCTCGCTCGCTCGCTCGCTCGCTCGCTCGCTCGCTCGCTCGCTCGCTCGCTCGCTCGCTCGCTCGCTCCTCGCTCGCTCGCTCGCTCGCTCGCTCGCTCGCTCTCGCTCGCTCCTCGCTCGCTCGCTCGCTCGCTCGCTCGCTGCTCGCTCGCTCGCTCGCTCGCTCGCTCGCTCGCTCGCTCGCTCGCTCGCTCGCTCGCTCGCTCGCTCCCTTTCGTTGCCGTTTTCTCCCGTTGCCTCCGTTTTCTCTCGCCCTCCCTCGCCCCTCCCTGCCCTTGGTCCCTCCTGTCTTCCCATTTTAATTTTATAATTGACTAGCAATATTGTCATAAAAAATTCTAGAAATTATAATATGTTGAGTTTGGGTCATAGCTGACTTGATCTCTAGAGGAAAAATAACAGTATAAATTAATATTTTTGGTTTATATCGAATTGAAGTGTATCTTTCTAATCTCACTTAAACCCCTGTTAACACCGATTAAGGGGTTAATATCCTAAAACTTACTTACACAGTAGCATTTTAAGTCATTATTTTAACACGGGGATGACATTGGAGGCAAGTACTTACCACGCTCGCTTACAAATAGGCAGTTAGGTTAGTACTTACTACAATCGCCTACAAATTGGGAGTTAAGTAGTTTTGTTTCTGAGAAAAAAATAGGCTATGTCTACTATTTTGTTTTTGTTAAAAAAAAGTTCGAACACAATATGTCAAGTAAGTAAGTACTTACACAATATATTATTTGTAAGGCATTACTTTACTCCTAAGTAATACAGTCGGTATGTTGCTGTTGAGTAAGAAGAAGTCATTACCATGTTTTTACTGGGAAAATATAGTATTTATATAAAACATACATATTGTCGTGTGTACTGGGTCCAATATATGGGCACACTTTCTAAAAATGTGTAGCAATAGCTGGTGTAGATTGTCTTATAGTAGGGTATTCCAAACAAGTGTTTCATATTTCTTTTTAAAACAATTATACAACTTTTGTTTATTAAGTAGTTAGTCTAAGTGCAAAAAAAATATAAATATAATTAAGATAACATAAAACAAAATAATACTCTAGATAATATAATGACTAATACAAAGAGGTTACCAAAAAAATTCCACTTTCTTTACTCAAAATAGCCGCGATTTTCCATCCAAGGTAAAATTTGTTGCATATGTTTGATATAACGTTCATTTGTATACATAGCGTGTTGCATATCGCTACCACTCGATTTATCACCCATCATATTATCCATAGAAATATCGTTTGTAGTTGTGGGATCCAATAAGAAAACGGGTAAAGATTTTAATATCACAGTATAGCCTGGTAAAATAGAAGGTTTAAGCATTTGCTTAATTTAATTTTCCGAAAAAATCTTACCGATAAAACTAGTTTTGTAGATCCATTTGTGAACTTCCGTTAAAGATGGCACAGCTTTAGCATAGTTTAGTATATTTAAATGTTTTACTAATTCTTGATGATAATGTTGAACAAAATAATCAAAATATTTGATTTTTATATCTAAACAAGGACATGATAGCAAAAAATATTGTAAATCCAAAGCTGGGGTAACAAAACGACCTGCCTGAAAATCCACAAATAAAGTTTCAGTTACACGATCCTTGTTATACATGTGTACAAACATTATGTTATTGGACCAACAGTCGCCATGACTGAATATATAAAAACCATCTGGATTTTGGGTACTGGTATTATCACTCTCATGAATTTGTTCAATATATTTGGTTTGATAATTGATCTAGGAATAGGGTATTCAGAATATTAAGGACTTTATTTTTTTTTTATTTTAATAAACTTACGATTTTCTCTCTTAAATGTTGTGCTTTATAAAGATGTAAATTTTCCAATAATTTAGCTTCTTGTGGCTTCTGGGACTGGGCCAACATTTTTAACATTTCCTCATTGAGCATTGGCTTCATTAGCAGCTCTGGTAAACCGCCCTTTTCAGCTATATACGTAGCAGAGGCAGCATGAAATTGTGCCAGTTTTTGTAGGGCGCATTTTGTGTGTTCCATATCGAGACCCTCTAAGCGATTCATAGTTTTAAAACCATTTACACGTATATCCTCCATTAAAATGACATCCATGCCTAAATCTTTATCGAATTTAAAAGCTTTTGGTGCAATATGTACCTTGTGACCCTGTTTCATATACATTTCTTCAAAAGCTGGCAAAAGTTCATAATAGGCAATCATTTCACGTTTAAAGGAATTTAGCATAGTGACTATAGCCATGGCTTGCGGTGACTCGGGAGGTACTTTCAACATATATTTGAGCATTTTTAGGGAACCATCTTTGAATAAATAATTGGACAATTAATATTTATTAAAATTTGTATTTTATTTATAGGTATAAAAACCTTTTAATGTTGCCTCAATTTCTATGGACCATAAGGTAGATAAATAATTTTCTCCCGCTGCAAATGCTGGTTTAGCTGAAAATGTTTGTATTTTTTCAAAATTTTCGACATTTTTTTCCAATACACTTAGAAAAAGTTCAGCGTTCAACCACTGAGGCAGGGGTATGGTTTTTGTCATTATTTAATAAAATTTCTAACACACTTGTTTAATAACCGTTTTAATGTGATTTTGTAAATAAACTAATATTTAACGACAATAAAAATGTTTATATATACATAACGCTCATTTACGCGACTAATGTCATAATTCAAAAAGTCATATTTTTAAGGAAAGCGGTTTTAAGAGTTTTATAAAATATATGTATATCATGGGATTTAAAAATTTAAATCTTATTACAGTGTAATAGGTATGAATTAAAACTTAATTTTTAGAATCGAATATTTCGAATATTTACTACAAGATTGAGACATAACTGATAAATCGGATTGTTTGAACTGAAAACTACAGAATAGCATTTTTGAGAGCACATTGATACAACTAAATGAATGTCCATAGAACTATATATATCAAAGTCTTCAGTACTCAGTTCAAAAAACCCCGAACATTGAGTTATAACACTCTTCCAGTAAATAAGCGATATGTGTGCTTGAAACATTTTGGCGTACGACTAAATTCCCACAAAATAATAAAATAAACTATATTCTCTTTCTTTCTCTCTCTCTCTATTCTTCTGGTTAATATAGTCATTGAAAACCATATCTTTATCGCAAAACAAAAAAAATACATTTAAATTAATTTATTTAATTAGTGTTAAGTTGTGAAAACTTTGCACTTAAAATGTGATTTGATAACGAACTATATGATACCCTACACTATAAACTTATTATACTCATCATTCCATTTGTAATACATTAAAGTATTGGATCCATAAATCATGTCATTAGAACTAAAACTATGCAGTTAATTAATTCGTTCTAAAATTTAGAAGATCACTCGTTCAATCCAATTCAATGAATTTGAACTATTAAGTAAATAATGTTAATAGAGGTTTACTTCCATCCCTCGTGTTAATCGAGGTATAAGTGTATTATTAAAATTTATTTGCAGACAATTAAAGACTATGTATGTATATTGATATTACAAATGTTAAATGTCTTATCATAATTTATTGACTATATCAATTTTGGTCAATATCATTGCAATTCAAAGATTAAGTGTCGACACTAACGTCATTTCATTTCATTTAACTTTTAATTGTCTGTCATCATATTGTTGAGAGACAATTGTGTTGCCAATATATAACGTTATTAAGCATTTGTTTTGATGTACATATGTAATCTTCAACAATTTGTGGGACCACCTTAAGGTAATCGACCTAAAATCATTTAAAATCTCTCAAAAGGCCTTGGTATACATATGTTATATTCGGAATTTAACTTCCTTTATCAAATAAAACCTTGAGACCAAGTTACACTTTTCTAAAAGATAACTTTTCTAAAAATGAACCGCTGAATCCAAATCCAACTTCAGATTTTCTCCATTTCAACTGGGATTTGAGATATCGTATACTAAAATTTGAAAGAAACGCAAAAAGAAACATTTGAAAATAGATAAAAATATATGAATGATATTGGAACGAGTATATTTTGTAATACTTAGTTCAAATAACCCGTATTTTGTGCAAATGAGCGATATGTAAAATATATACATATGTCCGACCGACCTCTATAGTATTTGATAGAGTATTGAACTTTCCTAATTTCATTTAAATCGAATTTTTAACTTAAGAACATTATATTTAAATGATTTTTTATTTATAAACCAATTTTCTGAAAGAGAACTTATCTGGAACCTATTAAAAGTTATAACAAGTAAGAGTGTTATATTCGGCTATGCCGAATCTTATAAACCCATCACTGCCATATAAATAAACTTTAATATTTTTAATATTTTATTATTATATATCGATATTAATGAGAACATCAGGGAAATATTTGAAAGAGGTCCATTAATGAGGGTTTAACTATTGACAGTGCTCTTTCGAATTAAAAATATTAATTTATATAGAGAGTACAGTTATTTATACATATATGGACCAATTCTCATAATAGTCGGTAGGAAGATTTCAGTTTCTTATTTATTTCAAATTTCATAATAGTAATGAGCCTCAAAGTCATTTTTCGCGTTGTAGTAATTTTTTTGAGGGATTTATATGGGATGGGGTTATTATGGACTGATCCTTATAAAAATTGGTAGAGAGATTTCGGTTCCTATAGAACTTATTAGTGTTGAATTTCATCGGTGTTCTCGCATTTTTAAGCCAGTGCGTTAAAGTAATTTTCTGATAGGGACCTTAAAAGGTGGGGGGTTCAATCAGCTTAGTTAGCTCATACAAAACTAGTTACTACTAGTATTTTTAAGCCAGTACTGAGTTTTAAAGTCATTTTCTGAAGGGGCTTATATGGGGATAGGGTCAATTATAGACCGATCCTCGTAAAATTTTGTAGAACGATCTTTGTTCATACAAGTCATTTTTATATCGAATTTCATCGCTTTACTCGTTTTTTAGGCCAGTAATGAGCGTTAAAGTAATTTTCTTATGGGGACCTTATATGGGGGATAGGGTCAATTAAGGCCCGATCCACATAAAATTTGGTATAAAAGTTTTGGCTCTTAATATACTTACTTATGTAAAATTTCTTCGCTACACTCGTATTTTTATACCAATAATGACCCTTAAAGTCATTTTCTGAAGGGGACCTTATATGAGGGGTAGGGTCAATTATTGACCGATCCACATAAAATTTGGTGTAGAGATATTGGCTCGCATGAAGCTTATGTGTGATGAATTTCATCGCTATATTCGTATTTTAGTAATTTTCTAAAGGGGACCAATTGTGGTCCTATGTCAGAATTTTCAGAATTTTATTCCGGAAGTCAAAAAACTGACTTATCCGATATTTTGTGGCATTTACTTCATAAACAACGAATTTGTGAATGTTTGAAGCTTTTTACACAATATTTTGTGGGGTACATTTGTGTGGGGGCGATGTGAAATTGTAGACCGATTTTGCCCATTTTCAGTACCAAACATTTCTGATCAATAAGAAATATTTTGGGAAAATTTCTTCTCAATATTTTTTTTTTGTGGACGCTATCGTGCCAACAACAGACAGACGGACGGACATAGCTAGACAAAAAAATTTCGCAGAATGATTTATCGATACACTATAGGATTTTATCCATACATAGTTATACATATATTAAATAAAGTGAAAAATATGTAATAAGGTGACTTAATGAAGTGGACCTTATATGAGAGCTATGATCAATTATGGACTGGTCCAAAATTTTTTTTTCAGAATATTTTGTATATACACAAAATATACTCATGTAAGTTTTTGTAGCTACATCTCATTTTGTCAATGAAATAAATGTGTGTGTTTAAGTAATTTTCGGAAGTGGACCTTGCATGGGAGATAAGACCAATTATAGGCCTATCCAAAAATTCGTGATTTTTATATAAAAAACCTATTTATGCGGAAATTCACTCCGAAATCTAGAAATTTGCGATTCTCGGAAGTTGAAGTTATTAGATTTGTATAAGTATTTACAAAACATATTTATACCGAACATTATCTTTATTTTTTAATTAGTTATGCGTATTTAAGTGATTTTAGGAAGTGGACCTTATATGGAAGATATGACCAATTATGGGCCGTTCCAGAAAAACTTTCGCAGGGTGGTTCATAAACACATTCATGACGAATTTTATACCGATATCTTAATTCAGTAATGAAATATGTGCGTTTACGTGATTATCGGAAATGGGCCTTATATAGGAGCTATATCCAATTATCCGAAAAATATTGTGTAAAATGATATATGTAGATATCTTTATTCTTAGTTAGTTACATGTAGTATATACATTTAAGTGATTATCGTAATTATAACTTATATAAGAGCTATGACCAATTGTTGACCGATACTCTATCACCACTGATGACGATGGAGGGTATAAAAATAAATTTTATAAATTAATAAAATATAATATGTAATTTTAAAAATTAAAAAAAATATTAAAAAGTTAGCCGCCCCCGGGTGGGCTCGAACCACCAACCTTTCGGTTAACAGCCGAACGCGCTAGCCAATTGCGCCACGGAGGCAGTTGATGATATTTTTACTTACAACTGTTTTAAACACAACGACAAAACGAAGACATAGAATAGAATGTGGTAGAACAAAAACTAAAATCTTAACAAAAGGTGAATTTGAAACATAAACACACCACTCACTGTTATAACGAATATGTATGTAGAAATATTTATTAGGAGCTTCAGAATTTATGCTGCATTTAACACACAAACACGTACATTCCTTTCGGGCGATTTTTGGACCCCCCTCTAACTTAATGAAAACTTTATATACAAAATTGAATTTTTGCACAAGTTTGCAAATTTGACTTTTTTAGCATATTTAAGGCATATCTCCAGGCTTTTAGAGCATATTTTACTCTTTCCCAGCAAAAAATCTGAAATTTTTGGTAATAGCCGGTAGTTAATTCATACATTACTTGGTAATGAGTGTTCATTATCATCCACATTATTTCATTTAGCTGAATAAGTTATTACTGGTAAAGAACAAAACAATTTGGATTTGTTATGGCTCAATTGTCTAGGTCGTTCATTTAACAAACAGGGGGTTCGTAGTTCGAGCCCTGCTGGATACTGTTTATTTTTTTTCAAAATGACATTCATTTATATATTTTTGTAAAAAGCCGTTCTCAAAATTATAAAAAGCAACGTGTTAATGGAGCATCGAGTAAGCGGCTGGAGTGAGAAACATAGAAAACAACTGAATGCCTGGGTTCAAATCCCGGCCGAGGAATTTTTTTATTTTTTGTTTTCTACATACAAAGTCGGCCCAAAATAACTAGCTATCACATAACATATTTGTAGGTTTATTTGTAACTAGTTATTTCGCAAAGTTTTTGTAATCAAATTAGTAACCATTTATTAATTTGTTTAAGGTAGGTACATATTATTTGAACCTCGTCGAACAAAAATAATTAGTTATTCACCCCAAAAGTAATTAGTTTCCACGTGATTCCAATATTACTTTCTAGATTACTAGGTAATGAAAATTTTTGCTGGGTTTAGTGCATATTTTGGTGTTTGTATCTATAAGGTACTTAGAATATTTTGAATGATTGATTTAAGTTAAAA